CCGCTCTGCAGCCATTAGAGGCTCCCACTGGCCGCGGTTTGCTGTTCCAGGCCAATGGGGGCTGCGGGAAGCGGAGCAGGCCGAGGGATGTGCTGGCCACCGCTTCCCGCAGCCCCCATTGGCCTGGAACAGCAAACCGCGGCCAGTGGGAGCTGCAATTGGCTAAACCTGCAGACGCTGCAGATAAACAAATCGTCCCAGCCTGCCAGCGGATTTCCCTGACGAGCCGTGTGCCAAAGGTTGCTGATTCCTGACCTAGCCCATTTAACTCAGTGCAGGAAACAGCATCTTCCCAGAGGTGTCTGAGGAAAGGAGAACTGGGTATTGTGCAGCATATTATTGTCTCTGATACACACCTTTTTATCTTGACTTTTCCCTCCTCATAGGAATGTCTGATTTCCAGTACCTGGCAATGCATTCTGGACCTGAAAGCAAACAGATCTCTATGTATGACAAGATCTTGATGCTCAAACCAGAAAAGGAGGAATTCTTCAATAGGGAATTACCCCTCTACATCCCCCCACCTATTTTTTCACGTCTGGATACCCCTATAGACTATTTCTATCGGCCAGATGTACAACACCGGTCAGTGCCTTTTCTTGTGATGTAGTAAATAGTTACATTGTCTCTTGAATGAATAGATAATAGAAACCTTTTACTGGGCCAGCATATCACTTATAAAATCTGAATTTTCAAGTTCACTGGGAGGATATCCCTGCTTCATTACCTGAAGAAACCTCTTGTAGTATAACAGACATGGTTTGGTAGTAAAGGATCTTTCAAAATGGCGTATAAGAAAAATTGAAGGGGTTAGATGATCTTGGGGGGTCATGTTGTTTGTATCAGGCAGTGATCATGACCAAAGCATAGGATGCTTTTGTTTTGTTTCTTTGTCCAGAGTCTATCTGTGTAATTGAAATGAGAAAAAAATAGATTTAAAATTACCAATATCCCACCGAGCGAATGTTTTTTTAATGTGGAATCTGTGCTCTTTCAGAGCAGCATTTTAAAATATTTCAGTCATATGCCTCATCAGGGCAAACTGCTATAACCGATACATGCCTTTGTTATCTCTCTTTCCATGTTAGCTTTGTTTATTTCAATACAATCTGGACAAAAATACTTGGAAGGTAGCATGGGCTAAATGGAGCTCTGCAAGTCAAGAGCTCTTCCACTAGCAAGCTTGTGGTCTTGGGCAAGTCACTTCTTTCTGTTTCCTTATTTTTGTTCTGAAATAACTGAGATGATAATTATAGTCACCTGCACAAAATAGGTCTTACCAGAGTGGAGATAAGGGGTTGCTTAGTTGGGGCTTGTGGCCTATTAAGTTGTTTCTGGTTTGAGTTTCGTGGACTTCCTTTGAATTCGGAAAAAAAATGCCATTGTCACAGAGATTTAAAAAAAAAGGAAGAAATGGGTAGAAAGTATACTGTGGGGAAATAATCCTGCACTAGCCTACTGGGGATTGAACAAAGGAGCCCCGTGGAGAAACCTTGCACTGTGTAAGAGAGAGCCATTGATGGGATCATGTTTTGGGAAATAGCACGGGTGGATAGCACTGCAATCTCGCCTCACTTTGCTTTCAGGCAGTCTCAAAACAAACATCAAGAATAGTCTGCAGTATCCTAGAGAATTGTATGTAAATGTGGTTCTTACTGGAAAAGTATTAATATGATTTCAAATCTTATTGCGGCAGAGGACTTCCATCTTGTGGCATTCAAGGTTTTGAGAAAAAGGAAGGATAGCCTCATAGTCAAGGTTGTGGACTAAGACTCCAGAGACCTGGGTTAATTTCTCACTCTGGCACAGACATCCTATGAGATCTGGGCAAATCACTTGTCTGTGTGTTTCAGTTTCCAATCTGTAAAAGGGGGATAATAGCACTTCCCTACTTCACAGATGTTTGTGAGGGAAAAATACATTACCAACTGTGAGGTGCTCTGTCACTACATTGATGAATGCCATATAAGTACCTTAGATGGGTTTTTCCCTCAGAACTATAAAGAATTATGATCTCACCCGGGTTTACATTTTCCATCCCGTGCATTCTCTTCCCTAAAAGCCTTCTGTCCACTTTAAACCCAAACTAAAACTATAACAAAAGAAATCTTTTAGGGTTTTTTTGTTTGTTTGTTTGTTTTAAATTTCCACTCTTCTCCCACTGTTGACATGCAGCTTGAGGTGATTTGGCAGCTTCTTTCTCTCTCTTCCCCGCCATAGAAATCTTGGTGGGTGAACTGAGAAATCCCATTTTAATAGCTGCTTTAAAGCTTTTTGTTTCATCAAACACCCTTGGAGGGCTCCCAAATGAAACTTTGGGTTGAAGGTCTGTTGCATCTAGACACAAGACAAAATTCCCATTTCTCCCACTCCTAGGACTGGGAGTTGGACCCTGCATGGTAATGTGAAGTTGTACTGGTTAGGCCTTTTGGCTGGCTTCCATGTGTTTCCAGTGGACTGGAGGTTGATGGAGAGTGGTGCAAGTGCACATGCCAAGGGTTGCTGAGGTGGCATTCACTGGAACTGTTTGCTTCTGTTACTTTGTTTGTTTTGCCATCAATAACAATGAAATCTGTGATGTCTCCCACGAAAAACAGCTTTATTTTTCTCACTGTTGTCCTTCATTTGGGCTAAAAAGTGCAAATAAATATGATCGGACTCCGGGATTGCATTTTTAACTGCTCCATTGCCTCACCAATCTGTTTCTCTGTACTCTTGATGACTGTAGCAATGGGAACATAGAGACCCGTGGAGGCTAAGCCTGCCTTTGTGGATTGAAAATTCTGATTGAGTGACTAACATGTAATGCAGAGG